ATACCAGATAATGCGTTTTCTGCTTGCAAGGATTTAACGCAGTTGTAAGTGAAATGAATTTTGATTCTGTAGTTTGTTTGAAATGAATTCCATAGAGATTGATCAGAGATGAGAACCGCAAAAGTGGAAAGCTTAATTTTGTTTTAGAATTTAATTTATGATACAGACATTGGAGTTAAGGAGTCAATACAATTTAGGTTGCTTGGGGAAAACTAAGTAATGTAGTGTTTTCTTTTTCCTCAAGGTTGCTCAGCTTCAACCTCATCTCACAAATCAGCAATCGCACCTTTACTGGGCTCAAGAATCTACGCATGCTGTAAGTGACTGTTAATTTTGTCAACTTGTACTTAACGAAGTTAACTTAGTGGGTACTGTAAAATTTTTATGAATTCTTTTACCGTTTGGACGCTTCAAGTCAAGTGATCAAATTAAGTGATTACTCGCCTTGATACTAAAATAATGTCGATGTCTTATCTGTCGGTCTGTCTTTCGGTCTGTCCATGTGGCTGTCTGTGTGTATGTTTTTATCCATGCCGCTGAAATACTGAATGTATCACTCGTTGCTTTATGCTACAACAAGAGATTATCAAGGTAAGAGAGTGAATCCCCCATATAGGTCCTCTAACTAAGGAATCCCCCTTGAGTTATTTATAGACATTGTACTCAGTTCTTCCACGGATATTACTCGCGCGTTGCGTGGATGTCTTCCTACAGGATCTGTTTATGTTTCGTTTCGTTTCGTTTCAAAGCAAAGGAATACTTCCAACACTGTGGGTACGTCTTTTTTAGCAGAGCTCCTGCGCGCCGAAGGCGCGCGAGCGAAGCCCCATACCTTAGAAAATTTGGTAACCCATCGATCTGAAAAATTTTGGTTGTCACGTGACTGTCCGTCCGTACGTACGCCCGTCCGTCCGTACGCCAATACCTTGAAAACTAAGAGGAACACATTACTATAGCTTCATCTTTGATTTTGAGCGTCCACGCTATTGTTAATTGACAGCTGTCACAACAAGCTATCCGCTGACAAGTATCACGTGACTATATCGCGGGCTCAGGTTTAGAGCTCATCGAGGTTGCGTGTTTTTTTTTAAAGACAAACAATAGATTGCAAGGCTGATACTACGTGAAAAACGTTTCGAGACACCAACATGACAAGAACCGATAAAGTAGGATCGCAACAGTGGACAGCTGTTTCGCCCTTCTTGGGGTTCGTCAGCACTGTGTAGCGAAGATATGTAACGCCAGCCCAACAGCCAACGCACATAAATTGCAAAATAACGCGTTCAACATATCAATTTCCGTACTTTGATCTCACTTGCGCCCCGAAACACGCGTTGCCATATCACGTCTTGCAGTCTATTGTTTGTCTTCATACAATTTTTGGCTGATCAGATCTCTGGTAGATCCTACGTTGGCAGCGTTTAACGTATGCGGTCCCTTGCAGTTTCTGGTTTCTCATTTTTTTTCTAAAGTTAATCCCTGACCAGTTACTGGTTTACCAGTTGGATCGCGGGCTCAAGTCACGTTATTTCTCTGGGGGAGAAGGAAGGAGTACTCGTAAAGGCAAAATGTCGGCGCAAATTGACCCCTGGTGCGTTGTTGACTTTTCTTCTGACATATTCCTTGTACAATCGTCTCTTGGAAAGTCCCTAATATATTGCGTACGTAATTTCTACAGTCTTGGTTAGGCTTGTTGGGTATAGTTTGTTAAAATTTAACTGGAAAAAATAGCAAAACCACACGCTGAACAATTACGTGCTCAGAATTGATCATTTTTTGAGTTTCTGATCCAACAAAAAATAATCCTCTTTTTACCTGTATCGTCAGTTATTACAATCAGGAGCTCCACTTTTAGGCTTGGCTAAAACTGTATATTACGTTTTGATTACAAGCAAAGGAACTTCGGCTCTCGGTATGTTTTAATACATTTCGAAACTTTAATAGGACTTTAAAAACAAGAGACGGATGTCCCCTGCACAAACAGGAACAACTGAATAATGTACGGCAGAGAAATGAGTAGGCAAACGAGTGCAAAGCAAACAAACGCCCAAACAGTAGCTAGGCAACCGAACAGACGGTCGAAAATGCAGGAAAGATGCCCGCTGCCCAAGTAGCAAAAGCAGTTTAAGCAGCAACGGCAACAACGATTAAAAAACGACTTAATAGCAGAGCCCCATACCCATATAGGAAAGAAAAGGAAACCCATGAGTTGATTTTCTCATGGTTATCATGGCTAGCAGTATTGCTCGTGGGCGCGTACACACGACGACGACGACGGCGGCGGCGGCGGAGTTGCCCAACATGGCGGCCATACTTCAAATAATAGGTTGATAGAGACATGCAGCCTTGGTTAACCGTGTACTTCCGTGATATTGGACATCCATGTTATGATCAAGTGACACCTGTCAAAACAAGGTATCCGCTGACCAGTATCACGTGACAATATCACGGGCTCAAATTTACAGCTTCTCGAGGTCACGTGTTTTTTTTTAAAGTTGACCGCTGACCAAGTGCTGATTATCGATTAGATCGAGGGCTCATATTAGGTTAACTTGTTGGAAGCAGGGCATGATTGTTCGGAAGCCGGTTAACGCTAACCCGGGATTAAACGTTAACCGAATTATAACTTTCTTACAAACAAATGTTTTTTGCTGTTTTGTTTTATGAATATGGTGATTATTAAAACTCAAAACAGGCCAAACAATAAACAGAAAACCTCACCGCAAAGTTACAAAACTCAAATCAAAACTCTACCTTTTTCTGGGTTAGCTTAATCGGGCTTTGAACAACCCGGCCCAGGAGCTACGCTTTTAGGCTCGCCTAAATCTATATATTATTCAACCTAAAAATCTCGTGAGAAGTTAGATTCATTCAGTTCGTCTATCCTGTCAGAAATATCCCAAACAGAATATGTAAGACAGCGTCAAAATTCGAAAAGGAAATTTTAAAAATGGGCCATTGTTTAGTTCACGTTCTCTCGAATATGCATAATGTGGCTATTTCACGTTGGTGTTTTGTGACCTTTTGTAAACAAGGGCAAAGAAATGAACAAAGAATTATAACGCACGCTTACACAGCCATTGTATTCGTTGCCGTTAAAGTTTGCTTAATTAAACTCCCTAAAACCGAATAAACAGCCAAATAATGAACAGCCAAACGAGAACAAAACACAACCTGGCCGAAAAAAAGACAACTGAGAGTACAGAAAACATCTCTGCTGTGAAACGAAATCAAAACATATAAAATGACGGTCCCGCCATTTCGTCTCAGGTAGTTCCGAGTAAGTCGATTCGCCTGTCCACGCATCGCGCGAGTAGCATCCTCGGAAGAACTGGGTACAATGTCTAAATATAACTTAAAAGGGATTACCTTGGTTAGAGGACCTAAATGGGGGATTCTCTCTCTTACCTTGATAATCTCTTCGCTACAAGTACTGCAGTAGAATACTAAAATGTTTTCTTTTTTTTACTTCTGTCTCTTGCTTATCTCGTAGGATGATAATGAACAACAATCTGTCAGTAATCCCTGAAGACACTTTTGCTGGTTCCCCATTGTTAGAGCTCCTGTAAGTAATATGACGCATGATGCAGGCAATGCCTTGATCCATTCTAAAGTTCGAGCGCGTATGCAACGTTTGTTGAGCAAATTGTTGTGGACGGGAGGAAGAAACAGTATAATGTTACATTCACATCCTTTAATGTTCCCAACCCTTAACCCTTACTATACTATACAAGCACTCAACTAAACCAGAATACACCGTATTCGCAAATGGCGGCCCTCCTAGGGCGAGCGAAGGGTCAAACGCGAAAACGAAGCGTTGTAGGATAATTACAGATGATCGGAGAAGTGACTGGGTTAACATGTTCGTTTTGCTTTGAGAGGATGATATTCCTGGCCTGGCTCATCTCTAGCTGGCAGAAACCCGGCAGAGCTAAAAACTGAAGAGTTATGTTTTTGGCTCAAATGCAGAAACGATTCAGCGAAAGGACTGCGGACAAAAGATCGTCTTGTTAAGCGATAAGCATTAGAATTATTCCAGCGATCGAACGGGAGCTTGGATGTTTATACTGTTTATGCTAGATCGAAGCTTAATGATTCTGCTGAATGATTGTTTCTGCATTTGCGCCAAAAACATAACTCTTCAGTTTTTAGCTCTAGTTTTTAGAAGCTGATCGCCGGAATAATTCAAATGCATACCGCTTAACGAGTTAAGCTTTTGTCCGCAGTCCTTTCGCTGAATCGTTTCTGCATTTGAGCCAAAAAAATAACTCTTCAGTTTTTAGCTCTGCTGGGTTTCCTCTTCAGGGGTTGATAATCCCCCAGGGTAATGCATGAGAGATGGTTATCCTCTCTAGGAGGTGATAATCCCACAGAGTAAGGAAAGGTGAAAAACAGCTCTGTTCTGTGCTAGAGGGGCACCTAAACTGTCGTTCTGCTAGGCTAAGAGTGACGTTATTAGGATCTACTGTACATGTGACAGCTTGCACATTATTGGCTGAACCAGACCATTCGACGTGAGCGGATCACGTGTAGGAAATGACCCATGTCAGGAAGTGAACTAGTTTTATTCTCTTTGGGGGGTCTATGGTTATCACATTAACTTTAATTTATATTGATCTATTAATAAGCTTTTATTTGTGTTTCCGAATTATCAACTGTTGGTCTTTTAACCTACGTCGACATTGCTTACCTTCAGGGGTTGTTAGGTGTCTACAGTACTGCTTGGTCTTGTTCGAAAAAAATTTGCTTGGTCTTCTTAGGCTCGATTTAGACGATACACCAAGCCCGCGCTGATTTTTCCCAGCATGTCAAGCGTAAATCCCATACAACTTTCATCACTGAATATGGTTGTGCCTACAATTGTCCTAGGTTTTTTAAGGCGTATTAAAATGTTTCAACATATTTGCTAATGTGGAAACGTTGTATTGTCTAAACCGACCCTTAGAGACAATTGAAGTATCAACTACCTAAAACGATTTCACAAAAATGTCTGACGTGATCGTCTGAGCGGGAAGAGTCCTAAAAAGGACCGCTGACGGTGACTGTAGTTTCCACAATGAGATATCTTGAGAGTAATCTTGACACTGAAGATTACTTCCGTCTCAGGAATAGATGAAATGTTACAAAAGAGCCATTTCCAGCTCCCTGCATGTCCCAATTGTTTCTGGCTGTTTCCTTGGTTTGATTTGTTTCGTTTTTAGGTTCCTTCATGGAAACGCAATCAAACATATTGATGGTAACGCCTTTCGTGACCTTCGTAACCTTCAAAGATTGTAAGTTTATTACCCAACTGGCAGCGTGAGAGATATCACTGAATCGATATAATTTTCAATTACCCTTCTTGTTAGCAATTCAATTAAGGATACAAAATGACTTCTCTTTATAATCTTGCATCAGTTAATTATAATTCCAAAATATAAGAAAGGAGTTTTACCAGATCTGAAATCCACTGCATTCTGTCCGAAAAAAGGATAGTCGAATTTTTATCTCGTATTTGTTTTATTTTTAAGTTATTATTTGAGTCTTTTCTCCAGTAAGTCAGAACTGACATTTGGAGTAAATCGCGATATTTTCTAGCCTCAAATTAAAATGCTGTTGCATTATTAAGAGTTAAGAAGTATTTGCGCCTTCTACAAATGGTAGTCAAAAGGCGATATCAATAAAAGCAAGCCACATCTAGGAACATATGCATAATATCGGGGAAAATTGAACTGATAACATTGTAAGGACTGTTGCTTTGTCGTTACGATAGCTCAACAAAATGTACAATTGTGTTTATTGTCGTAGCGCTATGATACAAGTTGTGTATTCAGTAAGCTTGTTACGCTAGACTAGCCACACTAATTGATGTTTTATTTTCAGGACACTCTTTGACAATCCTCTACAATTTCTACCGGTAAAGATATTTGACGAAATGGCATCTAATATTACCTTGTAAGTACAGAAATTACAAAAGTAAATTCCATGCAATGAACAATACAATTGAGTTATTATTTTTCTAATCAGAAGCATATCTTTATTCAGTGTGGTCTTTTTTAATTGATATTTACTATTGTTTTTAAAAGTGCCCAGATCGTACACTGAAGACTTGAGGATTGTAGATAAACTTGCATAGTATTTATTTGTATTGTTGTATTGTACTACGAATGTCCTTGTGCTCTGTAGACAGTTCTCGCACGTGATAATTCCCGTCGGCGAGAAAATTGAAATTAATAAGGCTTTCAGTGCTATTGTGCATGGTTCAAGAACTTAATGCCTTTCAGTAAACACTTAACCTCGTGTCATTAAAAAAGGTAAAGCCTGCATACCAGCCAAGTGGCTCATCAGGCCGGAGATTATCCCGGTTTCAGTACCATGAAGCGACTAGGAGTATTTCTACCCCCCCCCCCCCCCCCCCCCCCCC